ATATAGTGTATATAGTCTTATTAATACTGTGAAATATATTTTACTTATATTTAATTCTACTTTATTATTTCTATATTTTTAAGTTTTATATAAGGTAGTTAACCTTAATATCTAATAATTCCTTATTAAATATATATATATATATATTTATAGTATTTTTAATCAGAATATATAGTACTATTAAGTATAATAAAGCCTCAAAAGTATAATTATACTATATAATATTAATATTTATTTTATATCTTATATTATTATATTAAATATAAAATATAATATAAATAATATATATAATAAGTAAGCACACTAGATAAGTATGTATGCTACTTAATTATAGCTACCTTATAAATATAACTAAGAAGTAACTATAAAATAATAAAGTTAATTTAAACTACTTAGAATTCTATTCTTTAGATATTTCTTTATTAAACTAGTACGTTAATATATTATATCTAGCGTTCTTATAAGTACTACACTACTATTTACTTATTTCTATCCTTAATCTATAACTACTACTCTAATACGTTTCCTCCTTCATCTAGGTTATTACCTCTCTTTATAACTAAATATCTTATATATTAGCTACACTAAGACTTTCTTTTTACCTTAAATAAGTTTTTTTTACTTTTCTATATTAGTTAAGTAGGTTATTTTCTTTATAAAAGGTTTTAACCTTAGCCTTTAATAAAGTATTTTTATATATAATTCTTAATACTCCTTTAAGAATATACTTAGTAGCTATTAATTTATATATTATAAAGCTATCTAAATAATTAATAAGTAATTCTTAATAAGAGTTCTTTAAGAAGATATCTTTATTATATTATATAGTATTTAGAAAGTCTAAGCTAGTAGTGTTATTAGAAAGGATCCTAAAGGTGTTAGAGTATATAACTTAATATCTAGCTTTAATAGTACACTTTTTAGACTTAGAGGGATAAGCCTTACCCCTCTAAAGCCTCCTTAAATATTTACTTTTATAAGAGCTTACTTAAAGGCGTTATAAAATACTAAAAAAAAGTAATTCTTTATAATATAAGTATTACCTTATTATATTTTATCCTTAATTTCTTACCTATACACTAGCTTTAAAGGCCTAAAATACTTAATATCTAAGGGCTAAAGTAAATAAAATAAATAAAGTAGTATATAAAAAATAATAATATTATTTTTTTAAAAAAATACCTTAAAATCTATAAAATAGTAACTTTTATACTTATTAAGGATAAAAAAGTAATATTTTCTTTTTATATATAACTTTAAATACTAATTAAAGTACTAAAGCTAATTTAGGTCTTTTTTATTTATTATTTATTTATTTTTAGATATTATAATAACTTAGTTAAGTAGAAAACTAGATTTTATATACTAAGTAGAGAAAAGATTTTTACCTCTAATAATAATATATTAGGACGCTATAACTAAATAAACTAATAGCCTAAATAACTATAACTTATTCTTAATTTCTAGGCTATACTATTTTTATATTTAAACGTCTTTTAGAGCTTATAATAACTATTTTAGATATAATCCAGCTTATTATAAAGCTAGTCTTATTAAAGTTATAAATATCTAACTTTATAATACTATATTTTATAATTATACTTACTATAAGGTAAAACTATATACTTATTATATTTAGATCTTTATATTAAGCCCTCTTATAGTTATACTTAATAAAAAATATATTTAGAGCTTTAGTATTTATTTAATAAAGTTTAAGGCCTAGCGCTTACTAACTAGAGGCGTATTATAGTTAGTAAGTAGTTAATTAGCTATTTCTTTAATACTACTAAGGTAGAGAGAAAATAATTAGGAATCTAAGTTAAGAATAAACTTAACTAGCTTTCTCTCTTCAAGTTCTATTAAATTCTATAAGTTAGGTATAATATTATATTATAATAGTATACCCTTTAATTTACATATTACTAAATTATAACTAACGTTATATAATTTTACTATAGCTTAAATACTAAGTTTTAGATCTTTTTTATATACTTAGACAGCTAGCTATATCTAGGCTTTATTATAAGTTAATTTTATTATTATTAGTAAATAAATAAAAAGAAAAGGTTAGATAGTTAAATAGTTATAGTTTAGTAGCGCACTTACTTCTTTAGTGCCCTTACTTATAATATACGTTATAGTATAAATATAATATAAATATATATATTATATTTGTATTATATTTAATTATATTTATATTATATGCTTATATTATACTATATTTTGTATTTTTTCTTTAACTCTCTATATAAGAATAATATACTAATTACTATAGTATACTTTAATATAAAAAAGTTTAAAACCTTAAAGTTAAGTTAGTTAAATAAGATTACTAATATTTAAATAGTTAATAAACCTATAGTATTATACTTTATTATAAATATATAGTTTATATTAGTAGTACTATTTAATATAAATTATAAGTATACTAACATACTAAATAGTATCTACTAGTATATAGTGTACTAAGAAAAAGAAATATACCTCTTATATATAGCTTAAAATATTTAAAAAAAGTATATTCTTATTTTAACTCTCTATATATATATTATAATCTAACTAGTTAAGTGCTAGCTAACGTAACTATATAGTATAGAATAGAGGATAACAATATAAGTATATTATTACTAAAGCTTTTACTTTATACTACAGTTAGTTACCCTAACCTGCTTATAACATAATAATACACCTAACCTATATAAAGGGACTATAAGTTTAATTCCTATACGTTAATAAGAACAGCTCCTCTAGCTATTATATAGCAAGCTAACTATAGGCAGTACATATAGGATTAGTTACCTTACACTAATACTAGAGTTTCCCTACTTATACCTATAATATGCCTAATTAGTCCTTAACATAGGGACATACCTCTTAGAGGGGAGACATAGTGTTACGATCTAACTAGTTAGATGCTAGCTGACGTGACTATATAGTGTAGAACAGGGGATAATAATACAGGTGTATTATTACTAAAGCTTTTACTTTATGCTAGAGTTAGTTACCCTAACCTGCTTATAATAATATAATAGTACTAAGTCTATAAATAAAGACGTTATATACTATATATATTATCTCTTTATATATATAAGCTATTAGAAGTACTATAATATCTATTATATACTTTTAGCTCTTTTTATTAAATAGTTATAAAAGATTATAAATTTCTAGAAAACACTAAGATTTTCTTAGTAAATAGTCTTACTAAGTATATAACTTGGGTATTTATATACTATAAGGGAATTAAGATATATAATAAATATAGAAAAGTATTATAGCTCTTAAAATATCTTTTAAGTTTTTATTTTTACTTTATATAATACTTTTAGGGTGTTTCATTATATTAAGAAAAAGTAGTAGATTTCAATAGGAACACAACGTTTTCAAATGGTTCTGATGTGGGGGTGGTTTAGATATAGGGTAGGTGAGTTATCATATATATATTGCTGTTGTTACTCTCTCTTATCTAATCATGCCCCATAACGCGAACATCGCCCTCAGACCAGAGGCACTTCATGGCAAAACACTTTATCTTCCATAAACCTGCAGTAGCATCCTTGATAAAATCAATCTTGTACAGGCCACCGGTGTAGAAGAACATTGACCCTTTGACTTTTCCTTGACCGGCTGCATAATGCTGGGCGTTGAAAATTGCTGTCATAACTGCCTCAGATCCGCTTTTGGTGATGTTGATCCTCGTTCCAGTTACCATATGCGTAGTGTCCAGCTTGCTTATAGTTGGGTCAAAACACTCTTCGTGGATCGCCTTGAGACCGCTCAGAACACGACCGCCTGAGCTTCCGCTAAGCTCCCAACGTGCATCCTCAGTGTGCGCAGAATCGAAGAGTTCCGTGTTGTTTGAATCCATTCCAAAAAGAAATCGATTAAGCGCATCCTCTATAGCTTCTCTCTCGGTAAGAGCTTGCAGCGCTACAGGCATTTCGAGGCCGTCGTAAGGTGCTGCCATGGCCGAGGTGTTTAAAACCAAACCAAAATAATAAATACTAATAATTCCCTTAGATGTAATTTTGACACACTATAAATTGTTCTGGTCTTCAATGTGAGTGTAAACACATGTGTTTGTTTCTGTGGTTAGGTGGAATGAGTACATATAAAATCTCAGGGTGGAACAGGCCATTACAGTGGGCCATGGCAACAAAGCTCGGGTTCCGAGAATGATTCATGCTCGGATACCGAGAAGTGTACATGATTCGCGATTCAAATGATTCAAAGACTAACAACTACCGTAGATAGAATTTAACTTTAGAAATCAAGACTTGTAGGTATATGAATCGCTAATATGGGGCTGGTGTGTAACATAATAATAACATTCCTAAAACCTTCCTAACCAACAGTATTAAGACACATAGATGTTCCAGTAGCAGGTACGGATACATTGATATAAGATTAAACTTTCTGTCTAAAGCGTAATATATCACCTAAGGAGTAATTATATAGGGACTCTTCTTGAGACACACGTATTACACAAGAGTCGAACAGGTGTCATAGCAGTAGGACTAGGTGTATTAGGTGTCCTAAGATAATATAAATCATGCATTAGTAAGTTTGCTCAAAAAGGGCTATACCTGTTTAGATATTTAACCTTATCCTTTGGTGCTGGCTTCTATAACTGGCCTAGTCCTTGTGCTATACACAGTCACGATTCAAGATATCTTACCGCTACGCCTTATTTCTGAAGCGGATACTTGGTCAACCTGATTTAACAAAGGTAGCCTTATTCAGCCTTCTGGACTACTGCCTCCTCTTTATCCATCTAATAAAACTGCAGATTTCCTTTTTGATCCTTCTGATTTACAATATTTTGACATCGTCAAGGTCATTACGAACAATCAACAAAATGTCACCAAACACAGCAACAATCAATGCTGCGCCTAACTACGACCGTGGTCAATCCATGACTGCAGTCCAGTCTCATAATGGTCTGCCTATGACATCACAAGAAAAGGGAATGCCAGATACAGAGAATGTCCCAGAATTGAGAAAGATTCCGCGTCATGAGCGTCGTGGACTACTCTCTAGCCTTGCTCTTGTGGCGGAAATTTCAGATTCACGGGAGTACGGCAAGGGGAAAAAGTGGATGATGACCATCATTGTGGCTCTGGCTGCCACTGCTTCCTCATTCGGTTCCTCCGTTTTCTATCGTAAGCTATACCCAAACCCTAGCATCCTGCTTTTCACGTACTAATCTATAATTTAGCCGCACTGGGAATAATCTCACTCGAGTTGCATACTAGCACAGCTGTCACAAACATGTCGTTAGCTCTGTATATGCTCTCCATGGCGGTCACGCCGCTCTGGTGGTAGGTGACGAAATTTGTGAAACATATAGAAGCAGCTCTAATAGACAGGCAGGGCATCTTTCTCAGAGACCCAAGGTCGTCGCACAATCTATATTATTTCCTTTACGCTTTTTGTTGCATTCTCTGTCATCAGCGCTGTTAGCGTCAACATTGCTATGCTTGTTGTGTTTCGAACTCTCACTGGGGGTGCAGCGGCCTCAGTTCAGGCCGTCGGTGGGGGTACCATCGCTGATCTCTGGGAGCCCAAGAACCGTGGAAGAGCAATGGGTATATACTATCTGGGACCGCTAGCTGGGCCCGGGCTCGCGCCAATTATCGGTGGCGTGCTCACCGAGTTTCTCGGCTGGCGTAGTACCTTATGGTTTCTCTCCATTTTTGGGGGCTGCCTCCTCCTCATGATTATCCTCGTCCTACCGGAGACTATAGCCAGACAAAACACGGACAAAGCACCAAAGAGCAAAACAGCCAGGATGTACTTCATTGACCCGTTATTATCACTGAAGTACCTCCGCTACAGCCCGATCCTCATAACTGTCACGACCGCAGCCATGGCTTTCGCTTCAGTCTTTGCTGTCAATATGACCCTCGAAGTCGTTTACGCTAAAGCCCCTTATAACTTCGACTACATCAAAATAGGGCTTGTCTACATAGCCCCGACAATCGGTTACGCTATCTCTTCATTTGGCGGTGGCCGTTGGGTCGATTATATAATGGCTCGTGAAGCTCGCAAGGCTGGCCGATACGATGAAGAGGGTAAGCTCACATTCTTGCCTGAGGATCGCATGCGGGAGAATGTCTGGCTTGGGTCCATCTTCTACCCGTTGGGCATTATTTGGCTCGGCTGGTCATTAGAATACGGATTACATTGGGCTGTTGGCTGCGCCGCCTGTGTTTTCTACGGTATAGGAATGATGGTTGCGTACAGTGCACTCACTACGATGTTAACAGAGTTCACCCCTCGTCGCGCGTCTATTGGCATAGCGATTAACAACTTCATGCGGAACATCTTCTCCACTGCTACCGCGATGGCGACTGAACCTCTTATACTCGCCTTAGGCTCCGGGTGGTTCTCTTGCTTATTTGCTCTTTTAGCACTGGTAACTACTATCCCCGCTCTTGTTCTGATGAGATACAAGGGGCCCCAGTACAGGGAAGTAATGGACAAACGCATTAACAAAACAAGTTAATATATATCTATCCTGTACGGAGTAAAGTGTAGGGACGGTATGATCTAGACAATAAAAGAGATTATTAATAGAAGCGGCCCTTACTTAGGGATTGTTTATTAGAATGCGTTAGCACATAAAGTTAAATTCTAAATTGTTACAAGGTTCTAAATCCAAAGTATTTTAAAACTGTTGTAATGTTAACTATTACTTGTAACTATCTATAGTATAGCTGTAAGTCTAAAGAGAATTTCACTAAAGTTATCATAAAATCTAGCTTAGTAATCTATATCTACAGTACCAGGTCAAAAGTCTAGCAACACCAATAAGGGTCTGTTACGACCCAACAAGTTACAGGCTATGTTGCCCCACCTGACAGACGGATGGTAGGCGGCAGCGGCATTTGTACAAACAAGAAAACTAGGAACAGACAGATGACTCCCTGGAACAGAAGAACTATAGTATAAGTCACGTGACAATAAGAAAGAAGCGACAGACAATAAGCGCTCTAGGTAAAGGACTAACCGGTTAACAGCGCTCTATAGTAAAGGACTAACAGATAGGCGTTACTCCTAGGCACACTAAAGGAATTAGGACTTATATATAGGATAGACTTAGACGCACTTAAGGACAGACTTCTATAGCTCTTTAGTAATTAACTTATAATATATTCTCTAAATACCTTTTAGTATCTAACCTTAGCAATTTAATTAATAAGAAGCTACACAAGCTGCCTTATGACCCTAAGCCTTAACTAATCACTAGGTGATTAAGAAAGACGACAAAGAAGAGGTGTTAAATGTGGCAGAATTACACGTGAATTAGCCGGCGAATGCACGGTTGCCCTATGGCGAATTGTCAGGGAATAGGCGGTGAATTAGCCCTACTTCTAATAGTAACTTTACTAATAATATCGCTAGGATTAGCTAGGGATTTCCTAACTAAGAAATAGGGGTTTTTCCTTATTTTTATAGTAATTTACTATAAATATATAATATATAATAGAATTAATTAAGTAACTATTATAATTCTTACTATTTAATAATTAATAGTTTAATATATATATTTATAATAACTAATATACCTATTTACTAATTAAATACTATTATAATAATTAATAAGAACTATAATAATAAGGTAACTATCTTATAATTATATAGTAATTAGTTTATATAGCTTAACGCTATCTAAGTAAAAGTAAAGCGTTATAATCTCTAGAAGTATATTAACCTAGAGGTTATAGCAGCAGACTAATTAATTATTAAGATATATCTAAAGAAACTAATAAAGCTACTTATAACGTAATATCTATATACTTTAACTAAGGATAAGCTTACTGCTTACTAAGAGGTTACTATAGCTATAGTAATTACTAGGATATCCTAGTAAGTAACTATATAGCTATAAATAGTAAGAAGTAAGGCTATTATAGCTATACCTAATAGGCTTATATATAAAACTAAATATATAATAACACTAGATAATCTTAACTTATATAATCTTATATACTTAAATAGCTAGATAAGCTACTATTATAAAGAAGTATATAAGTATACTACTTAGTAAAAGGACGTTAAAGATATAGCTAATATAGTTAAATTTACTATATCTATAGATCTTTAAGAAAGATATTATAAATCTAATAAATTACTAGCTAAATAGCTTAATAAGCTTAGTATAGTAGTAAGAATAACTAAAGAAGAGCGTATAAAGTACGCCTATAATAAATATAATAAAGTGTTAGTAAAAGCCTAGTAAAAGGCCTTAACTACTAAGAAAGATCTTACTATATAGCTTAATAAATAGAACATAGCCTATAGTAAATTAGTATAAGTTAATTTACCTAACTACTAATACCTATTAATTTAGTTTAATAATCTTATTACTACGTTATAAAGTAGCATACTTAGCGCCTAGCTAGATTTATATATAGTAATAAGTAAAATAATAAGTAATTAGAATAATCTTAACTAGTAGTCTCTTTATAAGATAGCACTAAAGAGGGTTAAAGCCCTTACTAATAACTTACTATATTATAGCTAAGTAGGCTGTAGTGTATTTAGCCTAACTAAAGGTAATAATAATAATAGCCTAACGTATACTAAAGGCGTAGTAAAGGATAGTAAATTTAATAATAAGAGGTATTACTACTAATAAAGTGTAAGTAAAAAGGTAAAGTGCCTTATATACTTTAGCGCCTATTTATTATAACTTTACTACTTTATAAATAAATTATAAAGGCCTAATAATTAGTAGGTAAATACGTAACGTTAGTAATAGGTTAATAATTATATTATAAGTAATCTTAACCTTACTAAATAAGTATAAAGAATTAAGGCTAAGTTATATTAACTATATAGTAAATACTATATAAAGGTGGCCTTTTATACTACTTTATAAGGCTATAAGCTAGGTAATTTAGCCTTACTTAATTTAAGCACTACTAACTAAATATTTAATTATATATTATAGTTTATTAAATTAGTAGTAGCCCTAATTAGTAACTATATTTAAGCTAGTACTACCTAAGTTATAATTAAAGGATATAGTACTATAGAGATTACTTTAAAGGGCGCTAATAGCTTACTAATTAAGCTTTATATATATAATATAATATATTATAGCGTATTTACTATATTACTTATTTCTTTTATAAGGCTATACTAGTAAGGTATATAGTAAGATATAAGCCTAGGTAATAATTACCTAAGGCGTATAAATTACAGCCTTATAGGCTATATTAAGGAGTAAGCTAACTAATAAGTACTTAAATATTATAAGTAATATAGCTATAGCTAAGAAAGTAAAAGCGCTTTTACTATATACTTTACTAATAATCTACTACTAACCTTATAAGTAAGAAATAAATATATAATATTAATATAGTAATAACTGCTTTATAGTAATATAATAATACAGTATAAGCGTCTTAGCTACTTAGGTGCTAAGGCTTTATAAAGGATTATAAATACTATATATAAAGTATATTTAACCTAAGTTAACGCTATAATAATATAAGACTATAATTTATATAGTCTTAATAAGATAAGGCAGTAGATTTACTACTAGCCTTATAAATCTATTATAAATATAGCGCTAGGTAATTACCTTATGCTAGACTTTTATAATCTTAAATAAGGCTATATAGGATACTACTTAGTAATAATAATCTTAAATTAGGTAATAGGCCTTATATAGGATTTCTACTTATATATCTACTACTAAGATACTATTAACTTAATAATAAGGGGCTTTTTTATAATACTAAAAACTAAATATTTAATTACACTAAAAGTTATTAAGGCTAACTAAGAAATCCTATACCTTAAGTAACTTATAGATATACTTTTTAATTATAAAATCTCTATTAAGTTATTAGTAGTAAATACCTAGGCTTAAAATAGTAGCACTAAGTGAATTACTATAATTATTAAACTTAAGGCGTAATATATATAGATTAATATAAAATTACCTAAAGTCTTATAGCCTAAAATTATAACTATAGCTATATACCTTTATAATTAAACGCTATTAGTAGCTTAGAAGTAAAAATCCCTATATTAATTATTTTACTTATATTTTATACTTAATAAGCACACTAAGCCTTTACTAATAGTAACGCTAGATCTTTTATATCTATAAGCCTATAGCTACTAAGTATATATACTAACAGTAGATATATAACTATTATAAAACTACTAGTAAAAGCTTACTGCCTATATATATATTAGATTCCTTATTAGATATATATCTAGTAATTTATATTACGTCTAGTATTTAGCGTAAAATAAGGTCTTTACTATATATATAATATAATATTTAATAAGAAGTAAGTCTTTAATAAATTAATAAATAGATTACTTAATAAGCTTTATAAAGCTAACCTTATAGTAATTTAACAATAAATTAATAAGCTAATAGCAGCTAGTAATTAATCCCTATTATATAAAAAAGCTAATAAAGAAATAGATAAAGTAATAAAACATACTAATATTACTTTACTAGGCACTCTATAATTAGGTAACACACTAAAATATCTATATAAGTAAGTAAAATTTATACTTCTTCTTACTTTACTACTATTACTACTAAGTGCCTTTTTTATAGCCTTTATAGATTTTAATATAGGGGGTAGTAAAATAGAAACTAATAGCTTTAAATTAATTAATCTTATAGCTAATAGCTAAAGAATTACTAATAGTAAAATAATTAATAGGTAAATACCTAAATTAATAGCTAATAGCTTATTAATTAATTTATTAATAGCCTATAGACTATAAGCTAGTAACTTACTTAATTTATTAATAGCTAATAGCCTATAAGCTAGTAACTTACTAAGAACTAATAGTTCTAAAGTAATAAAGATAGTAATCCCTTATACCTTATCTTATCTCTATATAATTAATTTATAAGACGTTACTAAGCGTAAAAAGGTGTTAAATTCCTAAGTAACTATAGCTAGCCTATTAGGTAATCTCTAGCTAGTAGTAACCTTATTTAAAGGCGTTATAAAAAGGTATTATTCTACTATATATATAG